ACTAAAAACTATTGTGGTATATTAGCAGATCAACATTAGATATTCTTCAGAAGGCAGTGGCGAGGTAGCCAAATTTACCACACGGAGCAGACCAAGAATTTTACACATTTTTATTTATTACTTTTTCAAGGCAAAAGAGAGGTTACTCGTTTTCGTCGGCCCCAAGCCAGCCAGCCGTGGATATGATAAATATTTACTGATAGAAGAAATCCTCGTCTAGGAATATTCGCATGCCAAATATTTGCTTAGCATTATTGAATATTATTTATGGCAAAGAAATACAGATACACAGCCGCAGCCGGAGCCGCAGAAGGGCGTTTATTTGTCATAGACAGACACGCCCACATCTGGGCAAACTAATCCTATTAGACTTCAAAGCGGTTTGCTCGACAAACTTTGCGATTGCCCATGTCCAGGAGGCCTTGGCTTTGCACCCACCCAGCCACAAAGTATTGAGGAAAAATAGGAAACATCGTGGCAAAACAGGCAACAAAACCGCTGCACGTGTTGCGTTTATTAATTTCGGGCTTTTACCGAGTCGAGGGCTTTAATTAAACAGCGACTAGATGCGGCTAAAGTTGAAGACTTCGGATTATCAGCAGACAACAGCTGCCTCAAGCAAATTGATTTTTAATAGATTTTTATGACTGCTTTAGCTCGCGCCACATGACGTATACGTGATGAAATTGAGTTTCCGACTGCAATCTCTAATTGGGTTGATTTGCAGAAAGAAATGTAAGGAAAACTCGTGATTATCTACCTGCAAAACACGCGCGCGGCTGAAATCCCCACATATTCAAATCAAAATGAAAAGAAAACGGAAACTCAGGCCAACAAAATAAATCCGCTACATTTTATATTATCTGTAGCAAAGACGAGTTCAATGAGCCCAAACAAAAAATATGGGGCTAATGTTGACAAGACACGGCTACGCAATTTAATCTCTTTTGTTGCCTGAAACAGGACTTTTTATTTCTTTTCAAAGTTGCACATTTTATGACCGTATTTTGTGTGTACTGCAACTGGTGTAAAGTTTCAGCAGAATTCAAATTAAATTACAGCAGAACGGACAATTTATGGAGCAGGCGTTTTGGCTTTGAGAGGATTTAAGTAAATAACCCCGAGGAAAGTAAATACACGTTTGAGCGTTATAAAATGTTATTAAGGCCGAAACGAAAGGAAGACGAGAAGGGAATAGACCGGCCCACATTTTTTTTTATCACTTCTTCCTTTTTTTCAATCATTAGACCTGGCCACAGGACATTCCCACTCACGTTCCCTGCATTTATTTATGCGGGCAAATTGTAGAAAAATTAAAAAATAGACAAAAATACGGAGCAAGGCAAAAAGTTTCCGAGTCCTTTAATTTATTTTCGTAGCTGCGGGGCAAGAAAATTTTGGTTTTGTTTCTCATTCCTCGTGGGGCGAAGCAAAAAGCCGCCACTTAGGCATAACTTTGGCTTTGGGTCGTTTTACCCATATGCTGTTTTGGGTGACTTTGGCTGTTTGCTGTTGTATAAGCCATTAATGTTGCTGACTTTGCTCCGTTTTGGTTGAAGGGTTTGAAAAAATATTTGCCTTCCCAATTGACGTATTAGCATACCTTTTCCCACCCAGCGCATGTGTGTAATAATGTACATAATGGGTTTGAAAAGAGTTTGGCGCTGATTAGGTAAACAAGTGGTACAAATGTTGGCAGTTAGCCGATGGGACAATGCCGTTTTAACCATATTCGAGTTCTGACAGTCGATCTGCGCAATTGATTGCTTAATTTCTGTGAAATTTCCATTCAATCAACTGTGAAGCCCATTAAAAAGTCAATCAGACGTGAATGCAAAGCAGCCAAACAAATTGACGTAGAAGGCAATTGTGTAAACCGACCTTGCAACAATGCACTTTCTACTGCAAATATAGACTCGTATACATATGCACACATGTCCGATCTGCTGAATTATAATCTGCTATATATAAACATCACTTGGCCCGGCTGAAAGTGAAGCCTATTAAAAAAACTTTGCCACTACAGTAAGAACAAATATTTTATTTCAAAGGGAAATCCATAAACTTACTATTGCAATATGTTGCGCATTTTGATAGCGTATTCAAAATGTTCAATCATATAATTATATCTGTGGAAATGTATGTCCTTTGTTTATCACAATAGGCATTTTTTCCTCGGAGCAAATGTAATCACATTATTTTTTTCACATGTACACATAAACAATGGAAGGGGACCAAGTCCAAAAAGGCCTGCCTTCTGCCAATAAAATAATAAATGAAATAATGCAGCTGGTCTACAAGAACAAGACCAGTCACTGGATGATAATCATATCATGTCAAACAGTCATTTTACTCGTTACATATAGAATAACAATTTAACTTGTATTTATGTAAAACGACTTTAAAATGTATTAAAATTAGTATTTAAAACAGCATGTGTATAAAATGTAAATAATAATAATAAGTAATAGATTAATATAATAAAATAAATAATAAAAATAGGTAATAAAATAAAATAAAAATATTAAATAATAAAAAATGCTAGTAACCTTTAAATGAGTTAAATAATATCTTACATTTTTTATGAAATAATCAACATTGTGCTGTCAAGGCAACCTAATGTCTTGGCCTGCGCTGTGTGTAGAACAAGCATATGGATATGTTTGCCTTGGCTGACATGCGTGTAATTCGATATTGATTTAGACTTCAGGTTCCTATTCGCGAATAACGCAGCCCGCCACAATGCGAATGACAAAGCACTGTCAAGTGTGTGCTCCTAGTATAATAGAACATCATCATTATTGGCATTTTCTCCGCTGGGTTCGATGCCAGGAGTCCTGGGTCCTGGAGCATGCTAATTGTTTGCAATTATGCTTTGGGTCGGATTCAATCCGTAATGGAAATGAAATTGGTAGCGAGAAATCGGGAGCGGCCGCACTTGAATGCATTAAAATGTGGAAAAGCTTCCTCGCATTTTTCCGCAGTTTTCAATTCGAATTAGGTTAACCGCGGGAAATTCATGCTTAATTGAAACGCCATAAGGTTTCCCACCATATTTAGATAATTGGAAAACCGCAGCAGGACATGAATGCTATTTCACAATTAATTGCCATCTTCTAAAGTAGAGCATATGAAAAAGAACCAAATCGAGTATATGTTTGACACAATGAATTGAATTTTATTCTACATTTTTTATTGCCAAATTATTAATTTTACGTCTTTTGATTATTATTTCAACCGTTTTTTATGATTATGGACTGTTAATTTGCTATTTACTCTGCGAATTGTTTATTTGCCACGCGCTGAGCCGTCGACATTTACTTTTGCCTGGTAATGCTAATATTTAAATTAATTGCTAAACAACGACCTGCAAATGTTTACACTTGGTTCAGCGACTTCGACAGTCCATCAGAAGAAGAGCGGTGTTAATCTTATAATATCTGCCGCTTTGTTTATAGCCCCATTGCCATTGACTTAAACAAATCACTTTTATCTGTCCCTTTTTTTTTGCTCAAATTCGGATTGTAGTACAACCATCGACAGCTGTGTTATTTTAGCATCCAATGCGATTCGCTGGGAATTTATGTTTTATGCACAAACACACAAGAGGAGTAAATAAACAAGCAGCTTGCAGCTTCGTTTGTTTTCCCCAAAAAATATTAACACAAATAGCAACTTAGCGATAAAGTGCTGCTAAAAGCTATTAACTATGATGTCAGACAGCCATATGTAGCGCCTATCTGATTGGCACTGGGAAAAATGGATTTTAATTCTACATAAAAAATTCTATATAAAAGTACAATCCTACTTTATGGATCATCAGTAAAGTAAATCCTTTGAATAATTTTATTTGTTTTTATTTCATTTAATGTAGCTCTACTTTGCTTTTTCGAGTGTCGTTTTGGTCGGGGAATTTCTTTATACATCTCATCGGATCACGACCATATCTGTGTCGGAACTTGAACTTGGCAAGGGTATTTGAGTCTTTTGTATTCAAACATAAAACAAATATTCACAGATGTGCCGCCATAAGTCTATTCATTGTGAAAATAACCAAATTTGGCAAGTGGGGCAATAACCTGTGAAATATGTAATGCTTAATTTGAATTCAAACCAAACTAGAAGCTTAGCCAAAAATGTAGGTATTAGTCAGCTTAAGCTGCATTTACAGCAAATTAAATTGGTCCCTCTCAATTTGTTAAATACAAAAATAGTCGTTTCCTTGCACCTTGATATTTTCCCAGTTGGCAAAAGGAACTCGCTTAGAATTGCGGCTTCCCTTAGGCATTTTGGGGCTTTGTCGTGGCCATAATGTGCATAGAAATGCGATTCAAGGTAGGGACAGACAACAATTATTCTTATTCTCATTGCGAGTGTGGGCGGCGCACATGGGAAACGCTCTTGGGAAATGGGAAATGGGAAAACAAAACGGAAGGCTGCGTCGCCAGCATCTGACTGCATTATAACGTTTTAACGGAAAAACGGAGGAAAGTGAATATTTTAATTTCGCCAGAGTGCAGCCCACACATACATAGTGCCACAATCAAATAATTAAAGCCTGACATTGTTTTCACAACGAAGTGAACTTATGCTTGAGTAGAAGCTTGCCGCTTATTTTCTTGGCCTAATTGTCACCCTAGTAGAAAACCAATGCAATAAATGAACTTTGCTGCCGACTCAATAGACTTTTTGTTATATATCCAGATGATAAAAAAAATGCGAAATGGTAATATGTATACTCCTTAGTTTTCAAATTTCCGTAGTAATGCGTATTATTAAAAACTTATCGACTTATGGCCATGAGTCAGACTAAGTTGCCATGCTCGAGGAATAACCGACAAGCCCAGTTAGTCGGGATCCGTCATCGAAACAACCTCCAATCAACCATCTAGTTCGAAATCCTTAAAATGATGGCTGGGAACCAACAGCTTGGAGGCATTAATCAAAGCACACATCCATATGCCTGCTATAACATAAATTCCTAGTCATAATTCCTAGATTCTAAGCGTTTTTCCATTGTTAATCCTTTAAATCATGTGGAGTGTTAGACGTGGCATCGCCTCCGCGACCGCTGAAGGTCTCCGAAAGTTTTCCCCCAATCTGGGACAGTACTCTCATCCTCTTCGATCATGGTGTCCACCTGTTTCGCATTCATCCAACTTGGCAAAGAACCTGGAAGCAACGAGCAACTATCTGAGGATAATAGAGGAACCCGAACTCCCCAATTTGGTAAAGTTTTATGAGCAGGTGTGCCGCGGATGCCATAGAATACCTGTTGGCTCAACCAAGCTTAGAAGGTCGGCACTAGACGATCCACCAAGGAAATGTTGGCAAAAGAACGATTCGGAAAAATACCGCGGAAACAATTTGTATTTAAGAATCAACAATTCAGCAAAAAAATCAAACGGCACAATTAGCGGATCTAAAAAGCCGCAACGCTTTTTTATGAACTTAACGAAGCATAATAGCCTTAAAATCAGTAAGAATTTCCAAAAAAATAACTTTAGAGCAGTAGCCGGGTCTAATATACTTAAAATCAATAATCCGCTCTTAAAATTGCCGAAAGGAAGGAATGTTCATAACCATTTTATGAATTCAATACATTCCCATAAATTTCTGATGAACAGAAATGTCCAAAATAGTTCTTTGAATCCAACCAAGCCAAACAACTATGAAACCTATATTCCTCAAAAGAAGCCTTCACAATCGATGAATTCCCATAACTCAACAGAGCATAGTAAATTTCAAATGAATTTCAGGAATTTCCCGAAAAGTAACTATTTCCAGACAAATAATTCTCAAAAATCCACTAGCTTACCAACGGAACTGAAAACTGAGACAAAGATTGAGAATCATTATCAGCCCCGAAAACCATCTCAAAAAAAGTTTTTAAAGACCTTTTACTCTGACGATGGTTTTCCTCCTAGTAAGGTTAGAAATACTATCAAAACTGGTATTAAAAATTTCAAATCTAGCTCACATTTTTTGACGAGGTCACTAGGTGCTATGAACTCAAGGTTAAGGACAAAGTTACGCTCCCAAAAGTATGCCGTGTCCGGAGATGAGAATGCCACTACATCACACCTTCAAGATAACTCCAAAAAGGAAATTGGCTTAGACCGCAACAGCATGACACAATGGATAATAGATAGGAACTTTGTTAGTCCTGGGCCCACCGATCTCTATGATTTTGGACCCCTGGATCTGCAATCGTACGCCAAGAACTTCGAGTCCACGCATAGCATTCAGCCTTATATCAAAATATCTTCGCAGAGAGTTGGAAAGCCCAGTACTAAGAGGGCAAGGATTAGGGAAAAGAAGGTAAATCTACCACGAGCACCAAGAAGGCAGCTTAAAAACAAGTACTGTAAAACTGGGTCATGTAAACGCCCTTCCTGTTTTGCGAAGCCATACAAATACCACCTGTTTCGGTTCGAAGTCTGTCCGAGAAAACGCAGAACCCGGAGGAAAACTGTGTCCTGTCAGACAGAAGTCAACCAAAACAGGTGTGAATTGTGTGATTTCAGTCGACCAAGGAATGAGCCCGATGAACCATTCATGATCGAGATGAGGAGGCGGCAGGATCGGGAGCAGTTGAAGCAGTACTACCTAAAAATGGCCGAGAGGGAGAAACAGTACTGTGCAGATACAGAAAAGCAGGACCTGAATCCCACAGAACCTAGGAGCAAATCCTTTTCCAAATCTAGGACTACTTGCAATGGCAATGTTGGGAAGATGCGCCACGAATTAAAGAAGTGCTTGGTTACGTTGAACCTTTGTGGTCGTCTTGTCGAATATTGGTTGCAATTGTCCAGATGCAAATGAGAAACTAAGTTTGTTTGGATGTCGAACTTAGTGGGTCTGGAATCCACGAAACATTTAAATGCATTTAGCATGTTTTTACAGTCGAACAAGGTTGTCTAAGTGATGATACTGAATAAATATGGTTCTGATTTGTAAGGCAATTTGTTTCTGTTCATATGTAAGGATAATTAATGTAATGGGGAAATTCCAAAATCTTAGTTGCCTTGGCAGAACTGTTAACTCCCAGAAAGTAAGCACCTCTTTATTATACCAATAGTAAATTAGGAAGAAAAAGCAATCAAATGGGCGCTCTAACGAACATATCAAATTGTCAAGCAAGTATGCCAAATTGTGCTATTAGTCATTTAAAAATCCTACAAATATCTTCCGTTCCAAACCAAAAAATTGTTAGTGCGCAAAATTAGTGTCTCGCCTTGACTATGAACATTTTGAAGAGCACCCGTATGCTAGATCGAAATTGTCTACGTGGCAAGATCCAGGGACTATCGCCTCTTCTACGGGCTGTGGACTGGCCACCAAGTAGGGATTCGCTGTTCCGGGCCACATGGAGCTACTATGCTAACGGCTGTCAGGAGCGACTGACGGGCATTCGCAGGCGCATCGAACAGAACGCTAGAATTGTGGCTCCAAATAAGGAGCCAATTACCCAACTTACTCAACTGACTGTGGCCCCAAAGCTGCCCCGCAATGGGCAACAATTGCCGCCAGGAATGGATTTGGATGAGCACATTTATCAGGAACTGGTGTCCTGTTTCCGGAACGCAAAGAGCTCTGTTTCAAGAAAGAAAACTTCGTCTAAGCGTTCGAAGGTTCAGAAATATTTTGAAATGGGCAAGTTTTCCACCCCAGAACAATGGCAGGCTTGGAAACGCCAAGAACTGAAAGTTGATCAAATGCTTCAAAATTCCTTTGATCCCTATTTGAGGGAGGAAATGCACAAAAAGCTGCATCGTCTACAAAAACTCACCAAGCTTCAACCTCTAGTAGTGCTTCCAAATCAGGAAGAAAATAATATTGAAAAACGTAAAGTGTCAGTGACAAGCAAAAGAAAGTCTCGACAAAAGTCTATAAATAAACCAAAGGGCGAAAGCGAATCAAGAAAAAATATCGCCAACATAGCAGATAAATACAGAACTCATAAAAACCCCAGTAAAACCTCGAAGATAGAAAGTATGAGTTCAAGAAGAAGTACAAAATCTGTACATAGTAGGCAATCCTCCGGGAAATCGACAACTAGCACGATATTGGCATTCCATCCAAGTCTAGAAAGTATCGTTAGCTCAAGACGTTCTACCAGATCTCTTCGTCCATATGTCAAGAGAACAGTAAAATCCAATCACAGTAGTGAGGAAGATGGTATTTTCGGAATCGATGACCAAGGAGAAGCCCCACTGTTGAATGAGGATACCACGTCGGCAACTTCGAGAAGGCTTCAAAAAGCACAAGATTCTCAAAAACCAAAGAAAATTAAGAAACAAAAATTAATAAAGGAACGAAAAGGTGCAGAAAAACCAAAAAGCGGAAATCCAAAAGTTCACGAACATTTGAAACATCCCAAAACAACAAGTCAGCATTCTTTAAAGATCGACAGCGAATTGGATTCTATAAGCGTGTCATTTATGAAAAGTAAAAAAAAGCCATCTAAACAACGAAAGTTCGGCACGAAGGAAAGATTAGGAAAGTCAAAATCAGAGGGGACCATCAAGGAAGCAAAGTCTGAGGAGCTAAGACAGAGTTTAGTTTCCAAAAGTATGTCGCAACTTTTAAGTAAACTTCCAAAACCCAACTCGAATGAATACATAGCGCAAATCACGAAAGGACTGCCACCAAACGACCCATCACTTATCCTGAATCTAAAGAATAAGTTCAACGAATCAGTCGTGTCACTCTACAGAGGTCAAATCACTAACTCGGAGAATGGTAGTGAAATTCAGGAAATCCAACAAAGCTTTGTTCGTAGTGGCGATCACCACGGCTGGACCTTCGGTGGGAAAAACCTGGCCCTTGTTAAGCCAACTTCCTATCCCAGGATTAGTCTAAGAAAACGAGACCAATATGGAGTGGCAGAGAATAATATTGAAATAGAAGCAGCTGATAACACTGCACTGGACTCTATTATAGGTAATCAGCCAATTAGAAGAACTGCAAAAGAACAAGATGTAAGATTGCTATCGAAGACTATTTCTGTTGATGAAATCCTCTCGAGTGTTGAAGCGAAACCCTTACTAATTTCCGATCTAATATCGGAATTTATACTGGCCTATGGCTCTAAAATAAGTTTTTTTGAAACATATCCGGATTTGTTTAAAAGCAATCATTTGGAAACTTATACTACAACTAATGTGAAGGAAGTTCCCAAGCAGTGCCCCAGAAAGAGGAAGCTAAGGAAAGTCAAGGATGTCAAAAAAAAACCATCGCAGCACTTTAAGAAAACCTGCTCCTTATGCAACTGTGTCAGAAGAAAACGTTCCGAATTGCAGCCCTACATGCAGCGGATGCAGAAGCGACGTCAACGACTGGAACTGAAAACCTACTATACCCAGAGGATCTCAAAATGTCGAGAAAATCAAAAGCGGCCTCCGGTGGAAACCTGCACCCGCGAGGGCCTGGCTATATGTTATCAGACCCTAAATCTTTGCCAGCGGATAGTGGAACAGAAGTTATCGAAACGATCTGAAGGATGTCAAATGAAAACATAGTAACTGCATTTGTCCTGTTTATGTAAACCAAAAGCATAAGATACATCTTCTAACATCCATTTGTCGTATTTGTCAAGCTAATATTAAAATGTTTTTGACTGCTCGAATTTCACATTTCGGTGTAAACTCATTTGTCTGTCGAGTTAGGGAACGAAATGGCACTGCTCCATTGTTAAGAGTACTTCATAAGTGGCGCCCGAGCAGGGACTTTGTAAAATTGCCAAGACTACCAGTTGCACCTAGCAACTTGTCTCGTTTTCCCCATATACACCAAATAAAATGAACTACTTAGTAAAATCCTGGCACTTTGTAAGCAGTTCATTTCGTTGACTTTTACGCGACCCTTGAAAGTCGCACTCATGTGGCGCGAAGTTTTTAAAATTAGCATTTGCCCTATTCAACAGTTTCGGCTGCATCCTTTTCCGCGAAATTTATTCCATTGCGCACCACTGCTGAGTAAAAATAATATGGACCCATAAAAATCAGTTTTTTACACCCGAGCCCAATTCCCCTCCCATCCGCATAAATGTCAATGCCAACGCAACTAAAATCTGCCCTCCATCCTTCGACCGTTGAATTTTGCAACCCACGCAGGCTGAACCTCCTCTTTTCGCGAACTCTTCAGCTCGAGTGTAACTACAAAAAAGGGGGGAGATAAAAAAGGAAGAACAAAATCAAAGTGAAAAACAACAAAACTCGGTCGAGGGTTTTTTATAGTAAAAACTTTTATATGGTTTTTTTTCGTTGAAATGCGGTCTGTTTCATGTAGTTTCTTCTAGATTATTAATTTTAATGCCAATTTACTGTGCAGTAAAATTGTGTATTTATGCTCACGCCCTATTCCTCATTTTTTGACGATTAAGTGTGGTATATGTAGGGTATGGGCAGACTAACATTTGAGAATATTAAATTACAAATTTTAAATTATCAAAATAAACAGCTTTAATGAGCTCTCAAATGTAACAAAACCGCCTGGCAAACCAATTTTATTTTTTGCGCATGCCGCGCTTTTTATGGAAATGAACTTTAATTTCCCTAGCCATTTGACTAAGCTCTTTCTGAACGACCTAAAGCATTCTAGTTGTTGGCTTAATATCTTGACAAAAGCGGAGCCATAGTTGGAATTTAAATTATGGGAAGAAGCTAGAAAGATTTATAGTTGGATATCACAAACATGGCTGATAGCGACTTAATCAGTTCACTGCAGTTGAAGGCTGCACAAATGATAAGTCACTCAAGCTCCCTTAAATGATTTCATTCTTTCATTAATTATCAAGCGCGAGCGAGTGGTAAAAGACCTAAAACATTCTAGTTGTTGACTTAATAATTAAAAATAATTAAAATTATGTGAAGGAGGTACTTGTAGATACTAGCTAGAAAGATTGATACCCAAACATGGCTGATAGCGACTTAATCAGTTCACTGCAGCTGAAGGCTGCACAAATGATAAGTCACTCAAGCTCCCTTAAATGATTTCATTCTTTCATTAATTATCAAGCGCGAGCGAGTGGTAAATCACTCGAGCGCCGAGCGCCGAGCGCCGCAAAGTATGCAACGCTGGAATGCAAACACGTCCAGGTGGGGACAGGTGTCAAGGAGCTGTAATGCGTCGCAACAGCTGCGACTGATGCCCCGGGCCGTGGAAAGCTGTTAAAGGCCAAACAATCCGGACGGAGGATGTGCAGGAAATTTAAATGCGAGCGGAAAAAAGTGTAGAAGGAAATGTGCGGTGTTTATTGCTTGCTGCTCGGCGGTGGCCTCATAATTGCCTCTAAGTGGCTTAAGTTATTAAAACCAATTAAGACAGTCGTCTGCAGAGGGAAATTCCGTTTAATTGCAACCGAAATGCGATTTAAAGAAGTGAATTGCATACAAAAATAATTGGAAAATGCTCTAATTGGCTCGGCAAGCCAAGTTAACAAGCTCCTTCATCAGCTAATTAAACTTTTTAGATTAAGCCCATGCTTCAACTCCATCTGAGCGGAAGTTGTAGTTTCTTCTGTTCCCAAGTTGAGCAGTTTGCACAAGGACTAAAATGCTTACAACTTAAGGCCGAAATCTTCCCAAGATGGCTTGTAATTTACGCTTTGCGGAGTGCAAAGTTGAAGTTTTCAACTTGGTTCAGAAGGTTAACTCTAATTTTAACATGTTGATTTAGCCGGAAAGATGATTTATCTTTAACTCAGTTTGGACAGATTGAAATTCCGGCTAATCACTCCTTACAATTTGCCAACTTTGAATGTTTTGAAATGGATTTTTATGCGAAAACTTTATGCTCTTTTATCTTTAACAAAATTTTAAGGAATTTCCCATTAATTGTGTTTCAAGTTAAGTGCAATGCTGCCGACTCAAACAAAGAGATTTATTTGTTCATTATTTTCCGGGATGTTATCGCGTGTACTTTCACAGGCGCTCAACCAAAAAGCTTTTGTTTTGTGTAGAATATTCCCGATGTATTTACGTATACATATATTTACACATCAATTTGTGTTCGCTTCAATACCTTTAGCTATCGGTACACCACATTAAGCCAAAATTCATTTTTGCTCCTGCCAAATCCCGAAATTCGCCGAATCAAATCGCTTTATTGGAAAATGCAAACGAATCCGTTCGCCACGCACGTTAACATAATTATGGAACGCCCTCACTGGGGCCCAATCAATCATACGCCGCGTGAGCCGCTTGACATTATCGTTCGGCCAGACACGATAATAGTATAGGAATCCTTTGAAATGCAAATCACGCGAATTCGTACACATGTACTCACCTTGTTCAGGAGGAGCGGGTGATTTGGTCCTGCCTCCTTGTCGATTGCCGATGATTGTTTGCTGGTTGCCTGTTGCCTGTTGCTGGTTGTTTTATGCTGTTCTCAAATCAATTCAACAGAACTTTGTTTGCACGAAATCCCCAAAAACATAGGAGAGAAAACAACAGTCAGTGAATGAGCAAAAACCACAGGGAAATGCGTAAAGGCAACGAAATTCGTATTAGGGCGCGTGTGGTAGAAAAAGTTGAATTGAGAATATGTTTTTCACAAAGAACAAAAATGCTTGAAAAATCCTAAAAATTGATATTGACTTTAAAAGATATTATTATTTCATATTTATTTCAAGATTATTCAACAGGGGTATTAGTCATTTAAACAAATAAACAAATTAGTCATTTTGCAATTATTCCTCACACAAGAAGATACGTTTTTTTCAGTACTATTATTACATTTACACATTTTCTACGATTGTGTGTAGGTTACATATGGTAATTTTCTTGGGACTTTCACGTTTTTTTCATTTTGGTTTTCGGGAGTGTGTGAGGTCACATTATAATCGTATCTTCCAATCTGAATAAAATTAGCCGAGATTTTTCATTTCTTACTCAGCTTTGTTTTGGATTAGAATTTATGGTAGTCGCTAAAACACTTTTTTCTTTGGTGGGAAAAACACATGTTGTACCACGAAATTTTCATTTTAATAAACATGTGCCAAAAATTAAATCAACTATATGTGAGTGAGTGTATAATTTTGATTACTTTTATAATTTATGTCTTCGTATTTCGCTGTTAAAAATTTGAATTTGCACTTTTCACGCGCAACATTGTTGCTGGCAACTTTCGCGCTTCTGCACTTGAACTAGTTTCCCGTTACAAGCCTTTTCAATTTTCCTCAATTTTCCCTGCCGCACACGAACGCATTCTCACACACACACGCACACACACACACACACGCACACGCAGACAGGGAGAAAGGTGGCTAAATCCACTGATAAGAGTTTCGCCTGGATTGAGTTCCGGATCTATCCGCTATACCTTTCGCCACGTCCGACTTTCGAAGCCACTCAACAGCAACTGTTGCAAATGTCGAAAAGGCAACTTGTGGCTGCTGCTTTTCGCCTCTGTCGACGTCGCAGCATCTCTTTTCCCGAGCTTTTCCGGGAGCTTTTCCTCGCACCACGGCAAACTGTTGATTGGTCTCCTGAAAGTGCGAATGTGCGTGTGTGTCTTTTGGCCAGGAAGAGAGCACAAAAGAGAGTCCATCGTCGACGGCATCGCCGTGCTTTACTTAGTTAATTAGTACCCATTCAGATGGCAGTAAACAGTAGTTACTTCCTGTTAATGGGCCTTAAAATAAGTCATTTATGAGTTAATGCTCTTAATTTCAATTTGAGCACATCAAGTTCTCAAAACTTGTCATTTATTTTATAAACTCTAATAACAGACTAAGAAAACCCAAATGAAACTTTAAAATAACTTACTACGAAAGAACTTTATAAGAAATGCGCCTTCCCCTCTTTGTAAGTCATTTTCAACCTGTATATTATTGATTATCTTTCCCAGTGGGTTGAAAAGTGGTAACAACAGATACCAACACACCCGTGAAGTCAACCATAATCTCTGGAAATTTGTTTTCAATTCCGCTTACTTGAGCCATTAAAGCTGATGCTTACCAAAGCAACAGTTACCAATGGCACACCAGTACACAAATTGTGTGGCTGAAAAAAAAAGCTCATCCTGGCACTTCCTCCTATTTGGGGACCGCAAATAGACGGCACACTCGCAGAATTAACGCGCTTTTAATAGATTAGACACCCCGTCGGCTCTTCAGGGGCACTTCGATGGTGCAACCGATGATGCCGCTCAAGGACCTGTGCACCCGATCTGCAGATAATGCCACCAACCTGACCGCCACCCACAACCCGCTCCCACCTTGTTATTAGTATCCCCAAGTGGAGCAAGGACACACGTTTGGCAAATTTGCCCAGGCAGAAGGACGACTAATTGATACGCCCAAGCAGTCACGTAGAAGAATAAAAAACACAAAACATAGTTTACTGAGCAGAATGGTATAATAATAATTACATACAACTCCAGTAAATATTGACCGAATCTACAAATTATGTTATTTACAATAAAATATTCCTTTAACATTTTCCCGCTGTGTGAGGCTGTAGTAATTTTCCTTCTTTGATGCTGCAAAAACAATTACTTGAATACCTGAATGTTTTCGTATGCGGCCGCGCATTAAGCTCACATTAAAATTATCAGGAGTAAAGAGCGGCAGGTAAACGAGGCGAGGAAATCAAATTGAGTCGCTTACTTCATTTAGGGCAACGCCAAGTTCACGGTCACGACGGGAAGTTCGCGTCCTTGCGGCCATTTTGTAGAGTCCTGTGTACACCCATACATACTTTTGGGTGATGATTGTTGGAAAAGCTAAAGGGGCATGTCAACACACGGTTAACGCTTTACTTCCTCGAATGGCGTATGTTGACTTCGCAGCGTAAAATAAGCAAGCTTATGCTGCTTTGTTTTGTATTTTTTTGCGCTTCTCGCAGAGCTAATTAAGGCGTTCGTGCTTCGCAACGGTAATCCTATATATCCCCGATCCAGCGACCCTGTCTTGCAGCATCGCATTACCGTTGAATGCACGCGCATCTGATTATGCCGCAATTTTGCTAACGGCGTCATTTAGTGTTAATAGGTGTTTTGAGATGTGATTAACCTTCACGTCTGTGATTACCGCTGTAATGTCTGCTTATTAAAAGATAAATAGTGGTTTACAATTTAAGGTTTTGTGCAGAAGAAAAACATAAATAATACGTACACATAATTTAGCTCTTAAATTAGATGAATTTGAATTTGGCGCTCGAAAAGCTGACTGCTACAAAATTACGTCAGACCAAACATCTAACGGTCACACTTAAGCGAATGCAAGCTCCTATCGTAGCAAATACCCACACCTATCCAAGCTAGTACAACTTGCCATCACTATTAGACAAAATCAATCGATATCTGCAGGTGATAGCATGCATGGTATCGAACAATCATCAACTGAAGTGTCAGCTCTAGCGTTTTGCTTTGGTTGAAAATACAATTAAAAATTGATTGCGAAGTATTTAAATATTCTGCATCGCCAGGTGAGTGCGTGTTGCCAGCATTGGCATATTTTTCGGCCGGAAAAACGGCTCAAAGTCGACTCAACCATCGAAATGATGTCCAAATGTCGGTTTAAAAAGGCGCGTCATGTGCTGGAATCGAAGAAAATGTGTTACAATGCAGTCGCATCCAGCCGTTGCAGTTGTGTATTTATTTTTTTTTTGTTTCAACAATTACCAGTAACTAATTAATTTTCTCCCTCCCCCACCCACTCTTCCCTTTTAGCCATAAAAATCTGCGAAAAGCGAGCGGTGGCGGCATCCAAAATACCGAAAGAAGCACAAAAAGAAAAATTTGCAAGGCTGCGTCTGTGTTAGTGAGCGTGTGCGAGCGCGCGTGTGTTGCTCTGTGTGCGTTTGTGTGTGCGAGTCTTTTGCCTTCAGTGCGTGCGCTGTTTCTCGTGGGGAGCCCAAAGGAAGAAAAACACAAGGAATCCGCTAAGGAAAAAAGTGTAACCAAAAAGGACATCCAAAACAAACAAGTGCCGCTGCAATGGAGAAGAGAATAGAACTGGAAAGACGCGCACGCAAAGTAAATCAGGTAAGCAAAATACAAAAAAACACGCGCCAGAAACTTAAATTAAAGCCCAAATTAAGCGACGCTTTCGTGTGTGTGTGCATTATCATGCAAATCTAGTTTCAATTTGTGTATAGACGCCATAGAGAAAAGTGCTGGGAAAGAAGCAGCAAAGCGGAGTCAACAAGAAAAAACGAACAAAAAAAAAAAAGAAATTGATCGCCATAAGCAAATTCTACACACATGCCTTGGTGTGCGTGCGTATGTGTGTATGCATGTGGCGCCAGTGTTGCCATGTGCGCGCATTTTTGCGCCTTGACTGCTGTTTGCTCCTTTAGAGTGCATTATTTCGATGCGTTACAAAGTATTATGTATTTAATTGCAAGCCCCTGAGTGATTTCACTGCACTACAAGCTGATGGGAAGCGATCTTTTCGGGCCAGACGAGCTACAGCCCTTGGAATTCTATTATCTCCACAGCTGGCAATGCTGCCTCGCTTGTTGTTCTTGCTGCTGTTCTCGTCGCTGTTGTTGTTGTGGTTGTTGTTGTTATTGCCGGCCTTCAATTGTGACAAACACGGGCAACATGTGTTTGTGTGTGTTCGACTGCATGTTGTAATTTCAGGTTATTTGATACCAAAATGTATCTATAACAATATTATAGCGCGCGCATCATTTGCACAAACACACGCGTACCACGCACAAAAGATACACATGCATATACGTAAGACGACTTATGCACAAAATAATCGACACATAACATACATATCAGTATATCCATACATACATATATTGACTGCGCAGTCATAATACTTTTATGCTTCCCCCTCCCCTCTCCCTCACTCTAACGTGTTTACCTGCACGCCATCGCCTCTTGCCATCCCGCTCCCGCCCACCCGAAGTGGCAAAGAAATGCAGGCGAAAAGACAAAGCCGCTGATTAATAAACATGCGCTCTGGCTGGCCAGCCTACTCAATCTCAATCAGCGGTCACCCAGCCGCCCAACCACCCACTGCCCGCCCACAATGCACCCCACAACAGCGCAGCCAGCAGAAGACAAAAAATAGCAACGTATACACACTCATTTGCGCCTAAGTCAAAGCCAAACGCTGTGTGCATTCGTTTCCACACATTTGCTCAGATACAGTAGGCACTCAATACTGTTAACTGCCGTTCGAATCGTTGGAACCTTTCGCTCAGTTAGTTATGTAGTTCAATAGATCAAACACATTTAAATTCCTTTCTTTGAATTCTATACAAACTTTTTCGTTATCCCAACTATGCATTTTATATTTCCCTTAACTGTACATATATTACACCTTGGGGAAGTACCACTTTGTTTCCCGCTTAATCCCAGGAGTCTAATATACTTTGAAATTCAGAATACCCATAAAAAGATTATTTACAATTTAAAATTGATTTCCATTAGCATTTCTATTACCAAGTATATGAAACCGGATAAATATTAACCAATTTTGTACTATCTAGAAAATGAAATCAATTTGAACCATCATTTGAATTCTGTTTACACGAAGTTCAGGTTAGAAAGTGTCCTCTGTAAGCACATAACGGTTTCTCGGCTAGACAGAGACAGACAGACGGACTCTGAGGCACCCATTTTGTTTCTTTGTGGTTGTTGTTGTGGCGTCGTGACATATTGATAAGTGGGTAATCTGAAGTGAACGTGCACAGCCTCCAAAAGGCGTATGTTGTGTACATTTATTCATTCGTAGATTATCAGACCACAAAACACCACCCACTCTCACCCCCACCCACTTTTCGCAGACAGGCGCAACAACTAAACTACGTCACGGTCAACCATATTGTTGTTGTTTTGTTGCTGCTACTGCCGGCTTGTCTTGTTCTTCTACTGCCATCTCCCTCCCACTCCCTTTTTCAATTCCGTTTTGCTCGTCATTCTTCTCTTTGCGCATTCTGCTTTGTGTCGAGTCACACGCACACATACACACGCTTGTGGCACAAACACATTTTGGGGTTACATAAACGCGAGTTGGCACTTTTTCTCCTCGTCGCCTGCATTTGAAATATGTGCAATTTGGCGATGGAGCAGTAGCAATGTTTACCAATTCGTTTAGAGTAGCGCCAAATTGGTTATTTTGCATGTAATGTCGTTTTGCATTTCAACAAAAAAAATTTCTCAGCGTTTGATCGATTTTTGCGTATGTATTGTTCTCCATTTTTTTTTCTGCTCGCTTTGCGTCAAAAATTTTCACAAATGTGACCAGGCTGCGGGGTTTAAATATTCCACAATGCATACATCAAATATACCAAATGAAATCGGGTTTTTTCTTGCTTTCCGATAACTACTATCGATGAATGGAATTTGTTTAAATTCATTCAAAATCAATTTAAAAAAAATAATAATTTACCTATTAATTAACTATTATTAATTGAAGAATTTACAATAACTCTTAACCTTCTTAAACCCTAGATCACAGAGTTGAATCTGGACAACTGTCGGAGTACAAGCATCGTTGGCCTTACAGATGAATACACATCCTTGGAGTCGCTTAGCTTGATTAACGTGGGTCTCACCACACTGAAAGGTTTCCCCAAGCTGCCCAATTTGAAGAAGCTGGAACTGTCCGACAATCGGATTTCGAGCGGCCTCAACTATCTGACCACCAGCCCCAAATTGCAATATCTGAACTTGTCTGGCAACAAGATAAAGGATCTGGAAACCCTTAAGCCCCTGGAGGAGTTTAAAAATCTGGTTGTGCTGGATCTGTTTAATAACGACGCCACTCAGGTGGATAATTACCGGGAGAAGATATTCAAGATGCTACCATCGTTAAATTTCCTAGATGGGTGAGTTTGAGAAACTTCTTTTCTTGAACAACAGTAAAAGTAACTTCTTGAACAATTCCAGATTCAATTGCAACGACGAGGAGGTGCAATCTGATGGCGATGATGATGATGAGGTCAACGGCAACGATTCCGACGAAGAAGGAGGTTGGTATTCGATGTATTGATAGACAGCAAGCATTAAATCAGAATTCAGGAGTTTTTTTTTTTTTTTTTTTGAAAAGATTGCCATTTACCCACCATTAGAATTCCATTGTCCGTCTGTTTAACTTTATCGCTTATTGTGGTTCGCGCTTTCTTCGTATTAACAATAATATCATATATTCAACCTTGGCTTTTGTCGCCTTTCAGATAAGTGCAATGCATTCTGTTTGAATGGTTTAGAAATCGATTTAGACGAGCTCGAGGCGTTGGAGAAGCGGGTAAAGGCGAAAAAAAGTTTGCAGGACAAACCACCTCCCCAATCGGAGGACAAAGAAGTAGACGAATTAGATGAATACTTAAAAGAGTTGCAGCTAAGAGAATCTACGGCTGCAAGCGAAGAACAATCTGTGATAAATGCCACCCCGCAGCCTCCTAGAATTTCTAACTTAAATTTTGCAATCCTGCTCTATTGGTTCCTTGCCATTTTAAATTTGGGCAGTGCTACATATTGTAAGCATAACTTTTCCAGACTTTTCTTCAGTATTAGTCGAACTTCTCTAACTCGAAAATGCTGCAGAAAAATCAAATAGAAAAATGTAAAGATTCCCTTTTTGCGCTAAAGGGCATAAAGAGCGCTATAGTAGTTGGTAGGTTTGTTGATCTCAATTCCGTTGAATACATCAAAAAGTCGATTTAGGGAAGTTCGAGATGTAAAACGACGGTGGTTTAATCAAATAAACCTTTGATTTTTCAGTTTCTGGTGACGAGGACAGCGATGACAGCGACGAAGAGGACAATGGCGAGGTGTCCTTGTCGGAGGTGTACAATGACGATTTGGAAGAAGATAACTCTGATTGGGAAGGAGAAGGCGAAGGAGGCGAGGACGACGAGGATGAGGATTCCGATATTGATGATGCCGATGGAGATGCAAACGAATCGGCTGCATCAGTAAACGCCAAGGACAAGGATGGCGAAAAGGAAGCAGGTTAGTTTAAGCACAATTCTCACATCCAGCAGTAGTTCAGTTCTTAACACATTTTCTTGTCATTCCTTTCCAGACGAGTCGCAAGTCAGAGGCAAGAAGAGAAAGCATGATGGTTAAATTCTTGATCTGTCGCTGTATCGTCTTTGTACGTTATAAATTTAAATATACACCCACACACAAAACAAAAACACACACACACATCATATTTTGATAGAAAAAGATGATAAATCCTTTAGAAAACCCACAATTTGTTTCTCTAAAATGTAAGCTAATGAAAGTAAAAAACGAGAAAAAGAAAAACCAACAAACAACCCAAAACAAAGCAAGAGCGGAGGAGCATAATTAACGTAATAATCAAACAAAGCTAAACAAAAGAAATTACATGTTTAAGCGAAACAAACCGACGAGGAATACAAAAGAAATCAAGCAAGCAACCAATAAAAATGGCATTAATTTAACCTTATCCGAGCCCAAGTTCCAGTTTCATTTTTACAACTTCGCCACCTTCAGAACTCGCAACATAAAGTCCAAGAAGTCACTTTGTACAATTGATTACCACTAAGTTAATGATTAAACAATTGTAACTTGTACTTTCAAATTTCAATCAAACACAAAAATCTAGAACAGCGCTCCGACTTTTTTTGTTTGTACAACTACGGCTTTGTCAACGTTTCGCGTGAAAACGATCACACAATTTACTGCTAAGAACTTTTAACTAACTCTTAAGTCATTCCTTCTTTAAATACGCATAAGTTAAGCAAAATCCAACTTCACCCAACTTCTGCTCAAGGTGATTTACCCACACTTCATTGTTACCCATTACCCACCTCCCAGATACACAGACTTAATCCGCGTCTCTCTGTAAACGTAGAGCACTCACTATTGAGCATCCCAAATTGTTTTCCTTTATATACTTTTAAGTGAACTTTTTTCCAAATACCGAAATGTTTCCACTTATTCAACGGCAGTAGTGTTTTCAATGAATGTGGCGAGTAAATCTTATACACAAACAATTTTAGACAAGACTTTTCTTTTAATACACAAGTATTTAACCGATTATTATTAAAGCAGGACCCGCGTTAATTTTACGAGATGAGATGTGTCTTTACCAGCCCATTGAAACTGAAATACATAAACTACATCATTTTAAAAATGTCTTTCGGGGAATGGGAAAGAATTTACCTTTTTTCAGAATTTTAATACTCCTAGTTAAGAGTATTTAACCATTAGTGATATGATTTCTATGGGAGAGAATGATGAATTGGTATTTGATACTAATATTATTTTGCTATTAAGCATATGAAAACTAAAATCGTTTTCGAGATATCAGTTATAGACTTCATAAACTTTGGACTTGCTTAAGCTCGATAACAATAATCAAATATGAATTTAATTTTTGCAAAATGGATCGTTATCGGAAGTGAGCATGTAACTATAGTATTTTTTACAAAAGTATTTTTGATCTGATATCTGAACTAGAAATATCGATATTATTGTTAACGGATTTTCAGCTCCAACATGTACGGTCACACTGGATCTCAAATTCTGGCGCAAAGCAAGAAAAAAATAGGAAGCGTCCTAGTTAAACTACTTAAATGTATCGATTCCCTGTGGAAAAATGTCTAGTGATATAGCCAGCCAGCTAAAAAGCAGTCGCCACGATGTGGAGAAAGCCCGCAAAACGGTGGAGGCCAAATTCCGGGAGTTGTCTGGAGATGCACTACCTCTGAGATACGAAGTGAATGTGTTGCGCCATATTTGCCTTGCCGTAAAGGATAATCTGCACCAGAATTCGGATCTTTACTGCGACATTATAGGCATAATGCTGCCACGTGTAGTTCCCTTTGAGGAGAAGCCCAGCTTATGGGAGGCGCACTTAACCAGTCTGCGGTACATACATCATGGCTTGTGTCAGCAGGTAGGATTAGCTATAAGATTTTGAATCTGCCTAACCAATTGTTTCATTCACAGCGGTCAATTGAAGCCTGCCAAAAGCTGTATAATCTCATTCGAGCACAACCTTGCCGTCTGCAAGAGGAATCGGACCACAAAATATACCTGGACATTCATTTGACCCACTTCAATGGCCTCCATGTGCTGCTGCAGAAGCAAAAACTACCTTTGGAAGCCACAAGTCACCTGTGCTATGCTCTGGAATCCCTGGGAGAACTGTTCGTGGCCATGAAGCAAAGGAAAATACATCAATGCGCACCGCTTCTAGTTCAACTAAACGAGAGTTTATTTGGCAAACGAAGTAGAACATTCTTCAAGTCCCTGAGCTTTTTGCCGTCGGAGAGTTTAGCCAAGATGTTCAACCCGCTGCTTATGCTCCTGGCCAGCAGCCCTACTTCAGACTTAGCCAACTTATTTCACGAGTACCTTAGTCTTACGTTTGCTCTCGTACAAATCGACATGTTTAGTCCGCAGTCCAATCAGCAAATGTCATTGCAGCTGCTACGCATGTGCAAGGAACTATTTCGCCAGGAATCAAACCTCAGCTATTCCCTACAGCTGATATACTACTATATCAAGTTAATCTATGTTCGGGAACCCACAGCCGACTTTAAACGTACCTACATTGACTTGTCGAGCAAATTTCAGCACTTCCTTGAGCACAAGGGAGCATCTCATGCCAAAGAACAGTGGCTTGCTGATTTTCTGGTGGCCATTCAATTGCTGCAGGTGCTTATCCATCAGAGTAGCAGTAAGTTGCAGAGCCCTTTTCAGTTATTTTGGCAGCAGTTTGACGGAGAGAGCAGTGTGGAGATCTATACAGCGCACTTTCAGTTGCTTCAGACGTGTGCTAGCTTGGCGGTTAATGTTACGAGGAGTCCCTTGGGCTGCAGTTGCACTCATGAGGCATGCAAGAGCGTGCGGAGGCACTGCATCTTGGCGTATGGATTGTGCGCATTGGATGCATATATTAATTGGAAATCGACTGAAGAGCAGAGAGCAAATGTGGTGGGTATTTATGAATATATTTAATCTAATTTTGTGAGAATTTAATAAACATTTCAATGCTATTGCAGAGTCCTCACAAACCCTTGCTGGGACTAGTCAAATACTCTATGGATGTGGCTAAGACCATGAAATGCTTGGGTTCCACCAGTGTGGAGCTCATCAAGCTAGTGCGCCAGCTGACATACGTGGCTGATCAGGTCACCTGTCCGGAGCAAATGTCCTTGTTGCCGCCACTTTTGGAGCCACTGCAGAAGCTGCGACCTCTGATTGCCGACCAGGATATGAGTAGCTTACTCCGACGCCTCTTCAAAGCCAGCTACCATTGCAAGGATCCCAATATGGCAAGTCGAATCCAAGCTAGCTATTTGGCCTCGATTACGAATCCCACCCGATTGAGATCTCAGATCTGTTTGTACTACCACAATTTGGGAAAAAAGGGCAATGAAATCAGTAGGTGTGTCTACGAGTGGCATGAGTCCTCTCCACTACCTTTTCCTCTTACTCCGGACCAGACGAAACAGCTGTACGATACCGATTTCTTTGCCGCACTACACTATTTGAGGAGTCCTTCTATGACTCATATGGAATCGCTAATTCGTTGCCGAATGAGTGACTACCATCTGGTACTTTTGGCCAGGCAAATGCGAAAGGATGCTTCAATTTCGAAGAAGTGCTTGGAGGTTCATGCGAAGCTAAAGCAACAACGTACCCTCTGTCGAATGGAAGATTTGTGCCTGGGCCATGCAAGTGTTGGACTACTCCTGGATGCACTGGAGGCTCAAAAAACCAAGGTTTCTACCAAGGAGATAACAGAAAACATGTTCGAGGAGCTGCTCCTCAGGCAGAATTTATGGCAGATGAATATACAAAGAGAGCAGCGATTGGTCATCTATGCTAGTGAAGCTATCTCGGCTTTCAACAACTTCTTCAATCGAGCAGATCAAGAGCCATTGAGCAGCAATGAAACCTCTATTGATTGGGAGGCCTTGATTGACGATGCCATCGCTGCTGCCAATGCACTTTCGAGTATGGGTTATCAATCACAAGGGGATGATGCCTGGCTGCTGCTCCTGAGGATGGGTCGCTGGCTGGAAGATCGTTTCACCTATCTCCGGGCCCTAAATCATTTTCTATCTCAGAATGAGGTTAGTACGCGATTGAACCTGAATCTCTCCGAGGAAGTCGAAGTAGCAGAGGAATTGCTGGATGATTTGTGGCCTCAACTGAAAAACGGAAAATTCTTTAAGCGGCAGCAAACAACTGTAATGCTCTGTTTTTGTCACCTCGCCAGTTACTATGCCAGAATGGAATGCCACAGCCATGCCCAGTTGCTTTTATTGCAAGTGGAACAACTTCGCGAAGAGTTTCCTGAAAGGCAAGGAAAAAGTGATATTGTATTGCTTACACTGCAAACAGTGCGCTTTCGACTAGGGTATCAGCAAAGGAAGACGACAAATTGCAAGCTGCCGACTCCCCTGCGACAATTGGACACTCTCTTGGACAATGTGCGAAGTTTCTGCAACCTATCCAGTTTAGATGGTGGCTCATTGCAGCTGCTTCTTTCGACTCTCGTCAGAGAGAGCACCGAGTGCTCTGCAAACAGATTAAGCGAACGATTGGCCTTCTCCAACATTGCGCTACATTTGGTCTTGCAATCTGGTTTGGCTTTAAGAACCATAGAGGTATTCCTCGCCTGGTTATGGACCAATTTACAAATGGAAAATTTCGACAAGGCGCAATCGAAGTTGAGACTCATCGAGCATTGTATGGGTATAAAACAGCTGAATCCAACGACTCGGCCAGAAAAGGAAGCGATTAAGGATCCAGCTATTAGTGATCTGGCAAGCAATATGCATCTCCTCCAATTGGTGGAGCCAATCAGGAAACAGCATTTGTTAAATACGGCTTCGCCAAATCTACTCAGCATGCGACCACATAGCCCAAACCTCCAACTGGACTTGGATCGCTACCTGACACTGGATGAGGCGCCTTCGAATCTTCGAGAGAATTCTCAGCTGCAATGCTTGTACTTCGTAATGGGCTGTCTTCATGCACGTCTCCGCTTTCTTCAGCGGAAGAGTGAACAATTGGAAGAATTCTACGAAAAAGCGCATAGTTGGCTGCAGGAAAAACCAGTGGCGAGTAATGCTATGTGCTCCATGTTGCATGCCCAGCAGCTCTTTCATCTGAACTATCTTCGCTTCATGCGAAAGCATGTAGAGGCTATATCAACGGCTCAATTGGGTCTTAAAATGCGGCCACGAGCGGTCGATATTAACTTTGAATTTAACTTCTTCGCTCAGCTGAAGACAGCTCAATCGGAGCTTAAACCCGTGGGCAAGGAAAAACCAAAGATCAAAACCCTTAGACGGGCTTTGGTTTTCAATCTCTCTCCGGAAGACAAGAAACGACCCGCAACCGCATCAGCTTCAGCAGTCAAGAATATGGCGGCCAAAGCCAAGCAGTCGGCCAAAAAGCCACCTCGGTTCAGAATTTACGAGGAGTTGGAACTACGACCACCGAGTGCTGTCAGTAACAGTAGCGGCGGCAGCGGAACAGAGAACACTCCACCTTCGGATCACGTGGATCTTAATGCCTGCCAAGCGATCGAGATAAGCGACGACGACGATTTACCTTCAGTGGCCACGAAAAAGAACCAACCAAAAAGTAGAGATAAAGCTAAGCCCACGTCAAAAGCCTGTAAAGTCCTAACATTGGACAACAGCTTGGAAATAGAAAAAACGCCAGCAAGAACTATGAGTGCACGGAGTACCAGAGCTAGGGCTCGCCAACCAGTAGAGACACCGAAGACAGCCACTCTTTCATCCAGGCGAACGAGGCGTCAGGTGTCGGAACCACAGGCTCCTGAAACGGAGTCCACTAGCACACGCACACGTCACCGGCACTGATTAGATAGTAGTCTCCTTAGTTCTTATTTATTCTTATTGAAAATGTCTTGGTATTTAAATAGATATTGTATGTAAGTGTTACTAGAAATTAAATATTTGCTTTTGGTGGCAGGGATAGTAGTGACGTTATACAGATATCGTTGCTCCAAAATCCGCGCTGAATTCGCTGGCCATTGCTGCCATGGTAATAAACACCAGATCCTGATTTGCAGCCTCCTTCAAATTGACCCACGTAGCGATTCCCACTTGCTATGAACACCATATTAACTTATTAACATCTTTATACATTTTTAAAGTTCAGAACAATAAATAAATGCATCTAACCATATACTATTTGTGACGAGCTTAGAACTATTCTGTACAATACTCACGCGTGAAAAGTAAACCCTTTCCGTGCATTTTGTCCAGGAGCCACTCGCCCACATAGATGCCGCCATCCGCCTGCCACAAGATCCCCTGACCACTTCGCTGGTCCGCTAGCCACTGACCAAAGTAGACGGATCCGTCCGGATAGAACTGCTTCCCCTCGCCACTCCGCTTGTCCTCCCGCCACTGACCCACGTAGATGCGTTCAGTGCGGCCATCGAGCTCCTTGCGACGCAGAGTGCCCTTGCCATGCCGTTGACCCTTTTGCCAATGACCCTCGTACACTAGTCCGCTGCTCGTTTGCTTTACTCCAAAGCCATGAGGCTGCAAGCCAAGCCATTTTCCCTGGTACCGGCCACCCGGATACCGTTGACAGCGCACTCCGGTACTATATCCACTCGTCCGCCACGACATGTCTGCGATGACTGAGCGCGGGAGCAGGTCTGTCACATGCGGCGGTGCCATTGGTGTCCTGGGTGGCTTAAGCCGACTTTGGGGGCTGTGTGCGTGCGGTGTCACTTGTCTAATCGACCCCTAGCAGCATGTCTTGCCACCATTTGACTTCCTACGGCGATGGCACGCAAACTTAAGGAGGCCAAAGACATCGCCTCAATAGAAAATCGTTTGTTCCGGTTAAGTAAAAGTAGAAAAATCGTTTAATCAGTCGTATAATTTACAGCGCTATTTAGCTTACATGGGTAAATATCGAAAATAGACTGTTATATTTTACCAAATTATTGGAATTCCTTTGCATATCTATAAATATAAAACTGTGTTGCAGTACATTTTAAATTATTTTCTATTACAATTACTTTCTCGCTGCGTAAGAATACATCATGACTCTGAAATACAACATTGCAGATTAATTCTGTATATATTGTTCACCTATGTATCACGGATAAAAATAAAACTCCAACACCGTTTATAGAAAAATGGTTTAATCATAAATTATACAGTATAAATTACAGCGCGGTTTCGCATACACAATTGGCCTAACATTAAATTAGGGCGAAGACAAGCAATCAAGTTGTGTCCAAGCTATTCTTAAACGTAAAAAGGGAAGACTGCCTAGGATGGTTCCAAAAAATACGGCATACAATTTAAAATACACGCAATATAAATATGTAACAAATATGAGCTAATTTTTGAGGAATATTCATCGAACGTGGTGGTTCGAAGTATTGCTTTAATTGGGGTCTTTTTATCATTGTCAATATCCGTGCTTTGTAATTGCCATATATATAATAAAGGACCACAGCACTCGATCCACACGCAATACAGTTCACGTATATATAGTAGAAATCTACTGAATTCCGCGTATCACAATTTCCATCAACTACAATTTACAATATATGTGTTTCACTAAAATAATCTGAAGCTTGCCCTGAGCCGCTGTCTTTTTCGTTCGATCCACCTGCGGATCGCCAAGTGGTGCTAGACAATATCTCCGGAGGCGCCATAGTTCATGCCATTATTTCGTATGTTGTTGTGATGCTCCAAATGATCCTGCTCCATCTGCTCCTTCAGCATCTCCAGCTCGCGGATACCCGATACTGTCACCTCGTACTTGTGCGACACCAGGGAGCGATAGAAGTGAATGGCGAAGGCCATGAAGACGATCATCACCGGGATGAGGACCACGCATGCGGACCAAGCCGCCGGCGGACTCAGGTCGTAGAATTTCACCCAGCAGAGGATGGCTATCTCCAGTAGGAAGAGTATAAGTCCCAGCAGCGTGGAGAAGGCCCACGCCGTTTCAATATACCAGTGTAGACGCTCGTGCGGAGATTCGTGGACCAGGGAAATACTGTGCAGATTACACACCGTCTCGATATTGGGCAGGATACAGGTGCTGATCATCAGAGCCAGCATGTGCACCGCCACCAGGAGGGTGGTGCAGATCGCAAAGGCAATCAGCATGCCCGGTGGTACATTTGTGTCGTGATCCAGTTGCACCTCCACCATCGCCACCTATGGGAATTGCAAGGGAAATCCGTCATTAATGGTTTTTAATTCATTTGGGAAGGAATCGAAACGATTCCCCGGCATTGCCTCTATTATTATTAGCCATTTCTCGTGAGAAAATCACAAAATTGGCAAATAAGCAACTTTTCTCTTATATTGTATGGTCGGAATGGACTAATTTATCTGTTCCGCCCCTAATTCCCCGCCTCCCATTCTTCAATAGGCTAGGTGTACATGTGGAATGCATAACAAGTTGACGAACCAAAAAAGAGACCCATGAATACCTCGCCACTCAATTAATTAATCTAATAATTCAGCACCTGCAATACTTACACATTTTCTAACTGATTTATTTAATTCAATATTAGGGACCGCATGCTATAGTTAATTAATTTATATATTTTGTACTGTGTCGTGTGTGGAATTGTAGACATTAAGTGGGAGTTTAACAATGCTGGGAAACTAACGAATGTATCATGTAAGTTTTCCCGCTGATATTTCGCATTATTCGGGAAAATCTTTCTTCGACATGATACAAATTTGAGAATGCCTAAACGACCCATAATTAATGGGTGAAAATACACACATATATGCACAGCAAACAGCTAACAGACTTGTTTGGCCAAGACAACGATAGTGGGAATAAAAATCTATTTCGTTGGCCCTCAATTTGTTGCTGCCGGCATCGAAAATAATTATGTTGGTAAGGAACATTCAAAGGTACAGACGGCTAATTATTGATGTATGTATTTGCATCTATATCTATATGCATAGATATATACAAATATATATCCCAATATCCCTGTCATGATTGAAATTACTTAAATACGACAGCGAGCAGGGAAATAGGCACTCAAACGAAACAAGTAGCAGATTGCATTTCGTTGCGCGATTCGCCAAGTGGAAACTCTTATTAGTGCGATAATAATTGGCTTGGCAGTGTATGTCGTGTTCGTGGTGGCATTTTCTGCCTTTTGTGGTGATCAACAAATGCCATTTCCAAATAAAAAGATTATGTGGTTTCTGCCAGCATTTCTGGCCCTGCACATTAAGTTGGCTTAAAACCATACTCTACTAAGGGCAAAAAGTAGTTAAATTCTAGTCCACGAAATAGCAACAAACTATTAATGCCTAATATTTTCTAATGGGTTCATTTCAGTACACATAAATGTCCAACTTAATGTGGTTTTTGAGCCAAATCGCATTCGCTACAAACTGTAAATTATAATGGGCATTTTTAATTCTTTTCCAGGGGGCCTATAAGTTAATTGCTTTCTAACAGATTCGATTAAGTCTATATAAACTAATTTGTTACAATAATTTGTATAATTATGTTGCAAAAAGATGTACGTATTGTAATTATAAAATAATGATGGGACATCACGCTATCTCTAATCAAATTGTGTCTCTTAATAATCAAGAGTATGAAAACTTTTAATTAAGAAGTGCATGTAAGACTTTAGGTGCACTCACCATGGCGAATCCGGAGAGCAGGGCGGACGTCTTGCTGGAGGCCTTGAGCTTGGCCCGACTGAGCTGGAGCTTCCGCCAGGACAGGTAGGTGGGCGAGTGGAGATCCTCGCCGGACTGCGACATGCTGCTGCTGGCGGTGCGGTGGTGTCCGCGCGGCTGAAAGCGGTAGGATTGGTTCTGTTGGTAGGTGCGCAACTGAAAGGGCGGCGGCGGTGCCGCAAATGGGGGCGATGCTATGGAGGCTAGTGGTGCTAGTGGCGCTATTGGTGCTACTACTGAAGCTGCTGCCGCTGAAGCTGCTGCCACTGAAGCCGCGAATGCTGGCGAGCCGTCTCGCTGCGCAGTGAAGCGTCTCGTTTGCGGCGAATTCGAATTGAACTGGCTGTGATAGAGATACCGCGACGACCCCACAAAATTGCTCGCTCTCAGATTGCCCAGTTGATGGGCGGGCAGCTGGTGGTGCAGGGGCTGGGTTGCCTGGGTTGTCTGGGTGAGGGACTGCTGCTGGGCGTGACTGAGGTTCGGATGCGGGCGCATATAATCGCCGTAGTCGCCGGTTGCCGCTGTGGCTGTAGCCGCCGCCGTATAGGCATCCACACTGGCCGCCAATCTGGCAGTGGCATGCAGTGCGCTCGCCAAGGCCGAGGGTGTCTGCCGAATCCCCAAGCGGTTCGGCTGCGGATGCACCTGGTAGCGCCTCGATATCGGCATAACATCCAGGGTCTCACTGCTCGCCGTTCGCTCGGTGGACGATTCAAAGGAGCCCTGCTGGTGGCTCAGCATCAGGCTGCTCTGGCTCAAATTGGCCCGGGCATAGCGCAGGCTGCCAGCCCCGCTGGCCGGCAGCAATTGCTCCTCCTCGTGATCCTCCGCCGGCGGTTGGGCGGCCTCTTGGTCCGCTGACTTCATATTCTTCTGGCGTCTGGGCGGCCTTAGAGGTATCTGCTCCTGCTCCTCTGTCTTGATTTCCCCCTCTTCAAAGGGTGGCATGGACTTCTATCTCAAGTTCAAACTGGGCTTTCTCGCTCAGATCAAATATAATCAGTCTGATATTGATAGGGATTGTGATCAATTCTTTGCTCTCCTTACGACAATAAATATTTGGCTTGTTCTTAGGTCCAGCTTATATAAAAACTTGGCTAAGAATGCAAACGATATATAATTTGTTATGTATCTTTTGCTGTTCAGTATGCTTGATTCATAGTTGGCGAACAGCAACAAATCCGCTCCAACTTAAATTTTGATTCTCTACACAGTCTGATCTGTTTTCTATGCTAGTGTTAAAATCCAGCTTACTTATATCTCAGTTCTTAGGGTCTTCAGCAAGTTGAAATGGGTTGGGCTCTGAAAATATCGATCCTTAGGCTCCACAAGTTGCACCGCACAGATCGGCTGACTTCCAATGTCTGGCATTTAGCATTTATTAATAAATAAAAATATTCCATCAGGTCATTAAGGTCCCATGTTGGTTATCGACAACGCCCTGTCTCAATTATGGAGCACTTTCTTAGAACCATTCAATTTGCCGTTCACAGCACTTGATTCGCGGTAGTTATATTATTCATTTCTTCACCATTTGAACCTGGGCGATATGGATTTTATGGCCTTTTCATGGGTATTTCTCTCGTTCAACGGGGGGCTGAGGAATATTTATTTTATTGACGACCTTTTACAGTTTGTGGGTCTCTGGAATATTAATGTTATTACTCTTGATCTTGGCGACTTTTCACTCCATTGTTCTTGGGTCTCAGCAGCCTTTGAAATATCAACTTATCGCTGAACTTGAGCTTTAGTGTTATCGTGGCTTTTTCTCGGATTTCGTAGGACTTGTTTGTAAAACATTTATATATATTTTATGTATGCTTTTTTGTTAAGTGAATCACATCAACATTTTTGCATAGTTATCCCGCGTGTTGCTGAATTCCAGTAACGACGATTCACTGTACGGATGGAGAGCAATCTTTCGAGAGAGTTCGTTTGCCACTTGCCACTTGTCACTGTAATCTCGTTGTTTTTAGCGATTTTCATTTGGTTCCGTTTCACTTGGTTGATTTTGCAATGCTTCCCATTGATGATGCTGAATGATTTTCGCTGGGTGTTATTGTTTTTACCTTTTTTGCACATGACAATTGATCAACAATTACCCACAATGGCACACACACGCACGCTGAAAATTTGTAGCCTCTCTCTTTGCCGCAATCTCTCTGTCTTTTGGGTGCGTTGAAATATTTACTTTTTTATTTATAAACCCACATTTATGGGTCTTATAAATTGTAAAATACATGTGTCAATAAAAACAGTTTTTCGCAGGCACTTGTTGCCGACTTTTTCACATATTGCTTTTGTTATATTTTTTGATATGGCCGAGGACAAGAGTTGTACCCTAACTTGTAGCTGTAATGCTTGTAGCTGAGAAAAGCGAAACGCTAAGAAAAAACTGAAAAAGTCGCGGATGCTGGCGACACTTCCGCAAAAAAGAGCCACGCAAGAAAAACGACGATTCGAATAGTAATTCTTGCCTTTCCGCCACGAATTTAATTCAGGTGCGCGGTGCACAGCACATTCAATTCGATTTCATTTCTGCGTCCGCGTTTCGCTTTTCGCGCCTCTTGTTCCTTCGGCGATGGCAAGTTAACAACTAACTGATACGGCGGCTCTGCCAGCGGAGCGGCCAGCCTGAGCGGTAAGCACCGGCGGTACGGCGGCGGCACAGCGGCGGTGAGCGGCGGCGACGACGTATATTCAAATTCGACAATCAATTTGAACGGTGCGGCCTGCGATGACACAAAAAAACAACAACAGCTACTATAATGGCAATCGAACTATGACAGTACAACTTCCCAAGCAACGAACTGAAAAATCCATACTTTTTGTCATTTAGAAAATTATTGCTTACAACAGAGAAGAATTTGTAATGTATTTATAAAATACTAAGATATTTTTTAACGATTTTCCAAGATACATTTAACGGAATAAGAAAAAAAAGTAAGTATGCCAAAATATATAACAAAATATACAAAATTATGAATATTAATTTAATAAAAGAAAAGCTTCTAATCATAAACAAAATTTGTAGAAATTTCTTTTCATTGGTTGTTTTTCAGTTATAAAATATGGGTATTTTAACAGCAAATAATACGAAAACTAAGTTTCATACAATCCTGGCCATTGTTTAATTTTTGTTTAAATTACAGTTATTCAGTTCAACTACCAAAAGTTCGGGTTAGCGAAGTTGCACTGTACAAAACAACCATTTCAATGAAAGCGTTTAAAGAGAGAGTGGGTGAGAAATAGAAACGGAAAGAGAGCTAGCTACCAGAGAATAGAAGAATCGAAAGAGGCGAAACCAAAACTACAGGAAAACAAAAAGTAACAGGGGGTGGTGAGAAGAGGAAACGGTCGGGGGGAAGGGCGAGGGGCGGTGTCTGCTGCTACTTTTGGCAATCGATCAGCGATCATCAACTGATGAATGGGGAAGACAAGTCAAGTGATTAAACGCACGCACACACGACCCTGAACTTCAACTAGTAAGTCAAGATCCAATCCACAGACGGAAAGTCACTCTAACCCACGGACACGACACTCCAAAAAGCCAAATTGTGGGTCAATATCCTCAGACAAGAATATGTGTAGGTGGTAACAAGCTTATTGACATTATATTGAAGCAAAAAATCTATTAAAGAAATGAGTCAGTACTTCAATTTACATATTTTGTACCAACTGAAAGACAGTTTCACTTCCTTCTGTATAATCCCTAAAGTATGATTAATGTACCCTGCGGTTTTCTGTTTGAAATATTAACATATCCAAGCAGATGAAACTACCGAAAACGAAAAAGCTAGCACCAGGTTCACAAAGAAGTAGACGAAGGCATAGGAGATCTTGGGCGAAGGTGCCCCACTCAACGTGTCCTCGATAAATTTGCGGCTCCGGAAGATGTTGGTGTACACCATGAAGTCCTCATCCTCGCAAATTTTACGCCGCGCTACGCCGTACAGGAAGTGATCGCAGTAGAGCGGACTGCCCAAGTCCTGCTGACACATATTGCCCCTGCCTGTATAGCTACCCATGCACAGACACCTGTTGCAGTCGGGCTTGCAGCTATACGGCGAAATCTTCTGCGCTCTGATCTGGAGCAGCTCGTTGGAGTAAGGTCCGTCCTGGAACCAAGTTACTGGAGTTTAATACAAAAACCATATTACACAGAATGCACAGAATGCGGGGCACCTCCCGTATATAACTTACGTAGTAAATCCTGCCCCATCCGAGAGAGCTGCAAAGCCATGTTCTGTTTAACTCCTTTTCCGGCAGCATCATGGCAAACCTTTGACCAGTAACGCCGCGATCCAGCTTCAGCAGTGCCAATTGGGAGCAGCCACCAATGGTGTTCTCGTCCAATACAATCTTCTGAACGTGAAATACGTCCTTGGGAGATGGCTTCTTCAATCGACTGGGGGTGAAGACCACAACCCTAAGATTCTTGCGACTATTCGACTTGTTTGGGGTGCTCTCCGGCACGGTGCTCACACAACAGCCGGAGGTGACGACCCACCAGGCGGAGAGGAGGGAGCCGGCGCAAAAGTGGTTGTCACCCCAATAACGAACGTGTTTGCGCGTCCGTATGGACACCACATTCTGGTGATAATTGTCCGTTATGTAGAGGGTCCTCTGAAGCCCTTTCTTCCCTTCATTCGAATAAGCAGATGAGAAGGTCAGAAGAAGCAGTAGGAGGAACTGCATCGCCAATGAGGCGGGAAGCACATCTGTATTGTTTTTTTATTTTATAGATAAATTGGGCAAAGTAATCTACAGCAACTAAGTTTACATGGGACATTCTAACGAAATTAATTTTCTCCCAGAGGCTTTAAAGTTTGTAAGGTGGGAGCAGCAGTTTATGCATCTGCTCTTTCGAAACGTCGCAGAACTATTAAACATATAAACACAATACTAAAATGATTTTCTCTATCTTTAAGCAACTTTTTATAGAAAACATATGGTACACGGGGAGGATCATGCCTATGAAACTGAGAACCAGCTCAAAAATAAACAAAAAATGATTAAAATAATATTCCATATTCGTAACTCAGGGAAACCAAACAAGTCGATACAACTGAGCCGATGGAGATGGAAAGTGCCTCCTTTTTTGGCCTTAAACAATTTCAAATCTGCTTATTGTTAATGTTGGCCTGTCAAATGGAACCAGTTTGCTCGGGCTCTCCGGGCGCCTGACTTCCTCCAAAATAAACAAAATGTAACCACTTAAGAAATGTGAGTATAAATACATAAGTCCCACCGATAAAGCAGCACAAAAAACAGAAGGTGTCAGCTGGCGGGTGCTGTTTCATTTTCTTTCGCTGCCAAAATTCGTATGCAAACACACACCTGGATTTCAGAGACGCCGACCAAGGAGCACCTCCATTTATTTGCAGCTCGTGGGGCTCGTGGGTGGGTGCGTGTATTTAATATCGCGGGTGAAATGAAAAAAGAACAAACAAGAGGACAGCAGACGCGATAAGAGAAACGTACAACTCTTGGAGCCAATTAGACGCCGGTTCTACAATATGTTCATGACCATTTGCAATTTCATTGCCAGTGCTGAACGCCAATAACAATAACAAAAACAATCCAGCAGGTTCGCCAGTTAACTCAGTCGTCATACCTGTGATTTAACATACATATGTTCGTTGTTGTGTGTACTTTCGAGTGTCTGTGCGATCTTGTTCGACTTGAAACGTAGGTCGTGTTTATGTGTCAGATTGCGTGGCTTAATCGAACGGGCGCATTCAGCAGGGGTTTGTGAATTCAGATATGAGTAATACGTGATTTACGACGGAACTTAGCAATTAGAAGCAGATTTATTTATCACCGTTTTTGGGAGAACATAGTATGGCAATTACACGAGGTTTCGTAAAATGCATTAATATATTTTCGAGTAACTCGCTGGAAAGCATTAACCGACCGTGTTTCGAATATCCATTTCCAATTAAAGTTTATTCATTTTAACGTATATTATTGACTATTAACAGACAGCAAACTTGGTCTTTTCAGTTACCTTTTTATCATTTAAGCACACTGAGTTACAAATAATATTTTTGTCAATACAATTGTACAACAAATTAGTTTATGTCCTTTTTATATCGTTTTTAGACACCTAAATATATAAATATAGCTGCAGCTAAATTATGTAGAATGTACAAATTGAATCTGGCAGCCCACTCAGCAAATGTCATTGTGCTTTCCTCGCTTTATTTTGATTGGGAAATCGCAAATTGTAATCGCATAAAAGAAAACATTAGAATGTAGACTAATTTATGGCACATGAAATAAACTTTATGATTGAAACTGCATTTGAATATCTACTAATAATACCGTAAGTTGATTTTTATCTAATATAATAGTTAATGGTCGAGATCTATATATTTTACCATAGAAATCTCGTGACCGATCATTAAGTCACAGCTTAGGGATACCAGGCGTGATTAAACTGCTGAATGCGCCCGTTGTCAGCGCGTGAGAGAGATAGTGGAAAAGGTAGAGACAGAGAGAAAGAGAGAGAGTTGCAAGAGAGCAGCTTCCATAGCATCGCTTTAAAGGTGGGGGAGTGGGAGTGGGGGAAGATCGGGGATTGGAATTGATTTGTTATTGAACTTACCTTCGCCTGGTTCTGTGAAGAAGGGGGCGGGGGCGGCGGGAACTGCAGCAGCGAGTTGCTGATGCTGGTACGCTGGAACGCTGCGCTGTTGTTGCTGTTGCTGCCGCTTCCCGTGGGACTGTTGCTGTGGTGCTGTGGGTGCGGATGCGGATGTGCGTGCAGCGGGAACTGCTGCTGGAACTGGTGACCGGTGGCCACTGAAGTGGCGGCTGCAACGGCGGCGGCCACAACGTGCTGGAAGTGGTGCTGCTGGTGATTCCCAGTGGTAATCACCGCTGAATTTCTCGCTGTCCGTAGCACCGACGAGGTGAGCGGCGACTTTATTGGCGTCTCTAGGCCCGAAGTGTTGGCCGTGGTCCACACAGACATGATTTAGGGCCAGCGATTTCTCCTGCAGATTTAAGTACGTCTGCCATGGTGCACGGAAATACAGGGAAGCAAAAAAGTAACGAATAAGTTAAGCAATTCGGCACGGCGCAAATGTGAGGTGCTAATTAAGTACGATCGGCGAGGTTTGAAAGTAAACTAAAGAAAAAACAAATTAATTCAACAGCATTTTGTTGCTTTGCTTGTGTGCATTTATAAAATGACCTAACGCGTGACGCCAACATATCGATCTATCGATTGCGCTAGTGCTGACAGTCCAGCCATCAGCTAATACCGATATGTATATATTTGAAAGCAAAAAGGCGCCAAATTTCTTTTAGGTCTTGTATTTTGTGTTTTACTGTGCTAGTGATTTTATATTTAGTTACTGGTAAGTGACACAGACTAATTAATCATACGCCCCCAAAGGCACTGAAATTAATCAAAGCGCTTGCAGAACTTTACGCCCTGACACACATTTGAAATGGCCGATAGCACTTGCTCGGTGTTTTTCCTATTTCTCGCTCTTGCAAGAACCCTCTTTTCGTTTTGGTTTGCTAATTTTCTTTTACATTCTTCCGGAGTAGTCCTCAATTATTTTATTCTTGGTCTGCCCGTGTACTTACATATGTACATACGTATTTACATATGTATATGTGTATGCACATTGCATCTGTCGCTACTTTTTCTCTTTTTTGTTATCCGCCTTGAACTTGCAAATTTTGAATGAGTGTGAGGAGCGCGGAATGGTTTTCGCATAACTGGGCTTTTCGCCCTCTCTTTTAGTCTTCTAATATTCACACCCACTGTTTCGCAAGTGTTTGGCAATGGCTTTCTTCGCTTTTCTTCCCTCATTCTTTGCTTTTGCTGTGATTTGCTTTGTTTGGGAATTAATTTACATCCCATCGATAGATAAAGCGAGTCATGTGCCGATGAACAGACCTAGAACCGTTATCTATTGGATATGCCCAAAGCGCGAACACTCACGTAAGTACATACATATATACTTGTATGCATAGTAACAGGCGCGATCAAAATAATAGGGGCTAACCAATAAATTTTTCTTAGAAAACTCACGTAATTAACGCAGCACATTATTGAAGCTAATATACAAATGTTTGCTTTGCAAGCTAACTTTACAAATATAACTTCTAGTACTGCAGGTGTTAAGTGTTAACAGTTGCCGCATTTCTCGGTTATATGTAAAACAATAAAAAAAGAATGCTGAGTATCTGTTAGTCAGGGCATTTTTCCACATTCATTTTATAAATTATAGGCTACTTATGTATTAGAAAGAATATTTTAGTCAATGCTGAATAAAGAAATGGTATTTTTTAACTAAGCAGTTCTAATTAGAATTGTATGCTGTATTTTGGTGCATACTTTTCTGTGCTTTTAAGCAATTACGAACAGTTACCAGAAGTCTCTTTTGAAATTGAATGGTTTTTAACTTTAACTTTAAAATGCGAATGTATACTGTGAAGAATATAATGAGAATTTTATTTTATTTCGAAATTTTAAAATTTACTTTTAGTTTTTTGCATATATCAAGTGAAGATACTATGCCAAGTAATGTCATAATGTAAACTTAGATATTTTGATGATATTCCCTATAGATTTAATCATCCTACAACCTAGAAGTCTATCCGTAGCTGTATGCGGACGTATTAGAAATTCCTTGCGAACCGTGCGTCGCCTTCAAGGTGTTACAAATGTGCGCAAATGCCATTATCGGTTATCAGGCGGCTATACCATATTTGTTTGGCATCCGAATAAGCGGGTCAAAGGGGTTAGGGCCCAATAATAACCCAACATGTGTACTAATGTAGAGCAAATAATATTTTTGCATGCCCTGCTCCCGTGGTGAGCACGTCTTGAGTCGTGTATGTAAACAATTGCGGGCAATTGAAATCAATAAGCGATCCGAGTGCCGCAGACTTTGTAATCCCTTATGGGTCTTTCCGTTCCCAGCTGTACCCAAATATGTACATATTGTACATACGTCTTTATTGTTTGCTTTGCTTGGGGCATGCGACTCAAGATGCCAAGTCATTGGCTATTAATAAAACCTCGCTCAGAAACCGACTTTAGATAAGAAAAAAAATCATAAACAATGCAAACACCATGAATATGTGTCTGTGGGCATTAGTAAACCCTAATATGTAAATATGTACATATGTACTTATATCGCAAATAAATTTGTTCGACCTATGTACATGAACAATCATCAAATTTAATAGTGACGCAGACATTATGAAGTAGTCTTGAAGTAGAAACGTCGGGTTCTTGGAAGCGAACTCAAATACTTGAAACTCTGGAAATCTTGTTTACCTGAAAGGCTTCAATGTTTTTATTGGTGCTAATTATATAACTCTGGAAAGCTCTTTTTAATTAAATACTCTGGTTAACTTTTGACCAGTTACAAAGTCCCCTTAACTGAACGGCAATTATTGCGTATTGTGTTTGAAATGGAAACTTCTGGTTTATGTTCTTGAAAACTTTAAAATTCCTAAACGTTTCGAGTCTTTTGAAACTGGAATGCTTAAGGTATGGTTTTGTTTTGTGTTGTATATAAACATCTGCTGCAAACTTCAAGCTTCTCATGTTTTATTTAAATTTAGGCCTTTAAACCTGCCGCCTTCGAATGGCACCATAACCATAAATAGACCGAAAAACGCAAATACTTAAAATGTCTCATAAAATATCATCTTTAATACATGCTTAAAACGAGTTCACAATAGTTGGGAGGAAGTACAAATACAATAATACAGTATTACAGATAAACAGCTAAGTACGCGGCACTTGTAAGGACTAATGGACAAGACAAGACGATCACATGGGTCACAGGTCAAAGGTCTGAGGTCAGAGGTCGCCCATAACCCCGCTTGGCAACAATTAACGTAAGCATATGTCCTCTATTTGGCTGACTAACTTATGAAGTATGGCTAAGAATTCAATGGGCCTTATTGTATGCTGGGCTTGATGGAGCCCATGGAGTTTTTCCGATGATGGTTGACCTCGAATCGCTTCATGATGCTG